AATAATAAACACAAATTTTATAAATGATATACTAACGATCATCATCTTGTATCCTGATAAATGATGGAGTCCGGTCTATTGTTAATGCACTATTTTCTGGAAAGATGCCACTTATAAATACTGTAAAGTTCTCAAACAGTGGTTCACTAATGAGATCATTCATGATATTAAATCTACCACATGTCCTGTTTGTAAATGAACGTAATACTGAACGAACTCCACGAGTTCTATAGTCACCTAATGTAATGAAAGGGCACATAATGCAATAAATACCAGTATTAATACTTACTCCTAAATCGTGCAGTGTTATCTTTAGCTCTTATGGTTATTTCTGTATCAGTTGATAATACTCCTCCAGTTAGTACAGCACATATTTCTACAGTTCCTTCATTCTCAACCACATCATATGTTCCTCTCTCTATTGACAGCACACCAGCTATACAATGAATAATACAATGGTAATATGACTTAATGCTTCTCCCCTCTCAACTTACTGTCATCATCAATAATGGTGATGGTAGCTTTCTGCCGGTCTGTCTGTACTTGAACAATACCATCACTACTAGGTAATATGATGACTCTTATTGTTTCATCTCCCTCAATGATATTATCATCAATACTAATGATAGGAGTGAATGCATCATTCAGTGTATTATTGGGCCTGTAGGTTAATCTTGGAATAACAGGATTAAAGGAGAAATCACTACCTATAATTATTAATATTAAAAACGAACTACAAAATTATGTCAATAATAACCATTTGAGGCACTCCCAGATATGAGTTTTAATTGAACTGGTTGTAAACGATTCTCTGGAAAGCCTCCAATGTCTTCACCACCTTTCTCATCTCCTATCTGCTTTATAGTTAATTGGGCAACTTCTCCTTCTCTAATAGTAACACGTAGGTCTCTAAACCCGATACTAAAAACTAGAATACAAAAATGATAAAATTATCTCATGAACAAATGATTTACCATCTTCATTGTCAAGTCTTACTAATTGAGTATCAGAATTTATCTTAACTCTAGAATCATTAACACTGAGTCTCCATCTAAACAATTCTGGTAACTCTACAATATTATCCTGTGGCATGAAGAAAGTCACATGCTCCAAACGTTGATCAATTGCTGTTGCTGGTTGAAATACAGCACTACGCTGCTCAGTAAAGTTAAAGAGATCTAAATTAAAGGAGTAAATGAATATTTAAAAACTTAAGATGCATTACCAAAGTCTCCAACAGCAGCTTCATCTCCAGTCATTGTGCCTGTCCACTTCTCAAGCGAGACAGTGACTTCAAAAGGAGTTTCATATGTAATTAACTGACGCCTAATGACAGCTGTGGCATAACTACCTTCTAATAATTGTAGGAAGCATGTGCATCCTATTAGACCTACAGTAATCACTGAGAGTGACAGAAAATTAAAAAATCAAAAGTTCAAAACAAATTGACTTACTGTCTATATCATCAATTGTAATGCTAAGATGCCTGTATACAAGTACAACTCCTGATGGTATTGGTGGATCACCAGCAGCTGCATCAGTTTCAGCAGCAATTGTGTAATTAAATGAAAGAGTTGGTTGGAGAGCAACTCCATTCCCGTATGATATATATTGTATGCTAAACCTTTCTGGTAGGAAACCATTGGTTCGTCCCCAAAAGTCTGAGCTTAAGTAGTCAGCAACTTTAATAATTAGAAAAACTAAAAATAAAGTAAATAAGAGCATTATCTACCATCAACGGCTGGTTCTCTTGAAATAACATAATCCAGACAAGTAACATCAGGAGCCCCAGGAGTACTGAGGAGTACATCAGCAGTAAATGAGTATCTTCTACCAGTATCACTTGGACCAATATGCACACGTGATTGATCAAAACCAACAACTAGTGAATACAGTATAAATAAATAAAAATGGCTTCTGAATAATAAAAACATTAAAATAACTCAGTGTTTATGTTACAACTCTCTTACCAACACATGCACCACACTGTGCAGCTAGTGAAGAGTGTCGTATATATCCTCCACCAGTTCTATTACAGCAGTCAATAGCTGCAAGACTGACTCCATTAGTATTACTAGTACAATCAGCAGCAGATGAATAACACTGTACAGTTACATCCTCCTGCAATTGGCCTTGAACTAGATCTATACATAAAGTAAACAAGATTACCTTAACATACATTTGATCATTATACCTGTAAGTAATAGCAAGAAGAAACTAAAGAACACAAGAGCCATATTGGCCTTTCTTGTTGTTATAATTCTACTCCTGCTATAGATAGATGAATGAT